ATATCTGGCATTTCACAGACAACGATATGTGTCCTGAGGGCGATCGTGGATATAAAATTGAGCCGTTCATGAATTTATTGATCGAAAAATTTCAAAGGGCATACACACCCTCGCAACAATTCTGCATAGATGAAAGTTTAATTCCATTTCGAGGAAGACTTATTATGAAACAGTACATTCCAAATAAAACCCATAAATATGGAGTTAAATTATTCAAACTTTGTTCTGATAACGGTTATACGTGGAACATAAAATTATACTGTGGCAAGCACCGAGATGCTGAAATTTCTGTTCCGACTAATGTCGTTATGACACTTTCACAGAAACTTTTGGACTCTGGACGTACAGTCGTGACCGACAATTATTATACCAGCTTAGAGCTAGCGAACAAGTTGTTGGATAAAAAAACACATCTTCTGGGGACTCTAAGGTCAAATCGAAGAGGCAACCCGAAGGAAGTAACAACTAAAAAACTAAGGCCTGGAGAAATTGCTGTGAAAGAAAATAGTCGGGGTATTTGTATTTTGAAGTGGAGAGACAAGAGAGATGTTCTCATGCTTTCAACAAAGCATGCAGATCAAACTGTTATTGTACATAGGCGCACTGGCGATATAGAGAAACCAATAGCTGTGATGGAATACAACAAGGCTAAGAGTTCAATCGACTTATCGGATCAAATGGCAAGCTACAACAACGCACTAAGGAAAACGGTGAAGTGGTACAGGAAAATAGCGATTGAACTGATCTTTGGTACTGCCTTGGTTAACGCTCATTTTCTATATAAATCTATAAATGACCAATCCATGTCTATTACTGATTTCAAAGAAAGCATCGTAGAAAGTTTCATGTTTCCAGCTGAGGAAGAGGAGATCAATAGGCCATCTACGTCAAAATCCGGAAAAAAAAGAGAGGTTCATGTACTGAAAAAAAAAGAAGGCATCGCCCATAAAGTTAGGCGCTACTGTAAAGGCTGTTATGAAAAAAAACTCAAAGGATTCATTCCCAAAAATAAAGTGCCAAAAGTAACCACATATTGCGGCAATTGTGACGAAAATCCGCACTACTGTTTGGACTGCTTCAATGAGTGTCACAAGTAGATTAGTGTTATCTACTGTTGTTATTGTTTTTCTTATTTTATTTAATTATTTCCTGCTTCTTCTGTTGTTTACAAGAATCTATCAGTTAGTTTGCTCTGTATTTTAACAAAATTGTACACGTTGCAATAAAAATTTAAAAAAAACACGAATATTTTTTCGAATCAAAAAGTTCGCATAGGTGTGCATGCCGCACAGGCCAGAGAGGTCCGCCTACCATGCTCAAACAGGCATAGGAACGGACCGCTGGCTTCTGCGACAAATAATTTGGAATAAATACGCAGCGGTCCCTAGGGACCTCCATGGCGTATGGGGTATTTCCTTTGGCGGTCCCTAGGGACCGCCATGGCGCTTAACGTGTTTAATGGGGTGTTTTTAACTTTTATGTCACAGTTTATTTTACTAATATTCAACATTACCGGATCATGACCAGTAAGGTCTGAGTTAATTATGAAAGAGTCAAACTTAAACGTAGTTAATTTGATTTTATTTTTAAGAAAATTATGGTCAAGACATGATCCCATTCTAGTTGGCGTATTTATGCATGAAAAAAGCCTATAGATGAATAAAAATAGACAAATAAGAGTTTACCATTTTGTCATCTCTATCCAGGATATTGATGTTAATATCACCCAAAAATAAATTTAAGTTACCTCCCCTAATTTGCTCTAAATAATTTTCAGTTTCTTCTAAAAATATCAGTCTATTTGTATCAGGTGATCTGGACGTGCATATTATATTAAATAAGTGAATGTCTTTTTTCAGTGAAATCTTACTCATCGTTACGTCACATCTTTTCAGCAATGTATGTTTAACTTCAACTTCAATATTCCTCAAATTTTTGTTTAATGCCCTTCAAAGATTTTTCTCCCTGAGCTGTCAAAGTGAATGAATTATAAAGCTCAAGTCCATCTTCACCAGGGTTGCATTGATTTAAATCACCTGATTTAAATCAGTGATTAAAATCGCGATTTTAATCAAATTATTATTATATTTTAATCGCATGATTTAAATCGCGGGTTAGTAATTTGGTGATTTATAAAAAATATCAGTAAACATTAAATCAAAATGCAACTAATTGAATTTATCTACGCTACTGACAAATGGGATAAATTAAATTTTTCTATGAGTGTTGAATAATATGCATAATATACATCCATTTTCTATTGATCAATGTGAATGATTACTCATACAGTGACTTTTTTTTCATTGCTCAATTGTTTTCAACCAATGAAAATATCCTGGTCTCATTACTCCACTAAGAGCCAATCAGAAAATTCGACAACATACTTCAACCTTCCAATCAGTCATTTTGACAGCTGATTTAGACAAGACTTAAGACTTGTGCTAACCTAACCTCATTTTGTCCTCCACCTGTCAGAATTGTCAATTAATTTTGTTATGAAAATTAAATAAAAAACCGCATAACTCGAGCCTATTATCTATTAATCATAGAAAAAGAATAGTATTCTACTCGTGGGTAATGGCTATTACTCACTCGGATGATTACACTACTCGCCTGCGGCTCGTAGAGCAAACTTCATACTTCGTGAGTAATAGCCATCATTACCCGCTCGTTGAATAATATACTATTATCTACGCAACTGTCACTGACGTCACACCGCCAGACCTTGGGTGAGCAGCGAACATGTGGTAATCAGCTGTTAGCAACCAGTGGCATTCTTAGCACAGGCCGCACCATACCTTTATCTTCGTCTTTCTTTTGTCCCTAAAAGGGATGGAGATACACTCGCTTGCTGCACCAGTTTAATTATACGAAAATGCTATTTGATTTGATCTTCCTGGGAATCCCTCTAATCGTCGTCTGTCGTTTTAATTATTTATTAATAAAAAGTAAGGATGTCTGGTAAGGAAGAAAGACGATATCTGGAAATTTTATAACGAGAAAAAAAGTGATGGTGGTAAATTTTTACGCGCAATTTGTATTTAAATCGAAAAAATCTGATTTAAATCAAAAAAATCTGCAACCCTGATCTTCACCAATGATTGTGAGAGAAATTGCTACTTCCTGTTCTGGTTCCTTGGATTTCAAATTAGCTGCCACTGCTGTAAAGAATCTTTGTCTGAACCTTTTCCATTGCTTTGCAGTTACAATCAACTGTTCTGGAGGTTTGAATGCCGCTTCCATTACAAATCTATTATAGACACAACTTGCCTATAAAAACTGCTCATCCAGTGCTAACCTGATACCATGTATTATGCTTAGGTTTTCAAATAAAATACTTTGTATCAAAAATATACATATATTCCATTAGACTACGAGGCAAGACTTGACAAGATGACAAAACCCAGAGATAAATACCACAGCATATACAAAAACAATCAGCAGGCTAACTTGAGTGACAGCCCGTGTAATAAAGGAATTCATCGTCAAAATGTCACTAGCGGCCATTTTGGGATACGAAACAGGGCCTGATTAACGATAATTTAGGTTTTTTCTTTCCTGTGACAGAGTCGTATTGGCTTTAAATAAACTAATTTATTATTACTTACATATAAAAATGTTTATAATTACTAATTTATTATTATTATTGAATATACAAGAATGATAACAGATAACACCATAAATGACAACACGAATATATCAAAATCGTTTTGAAAATCATAGCTAAAATTCCGCTCTACACCGCACGCCTATGACCTCCGTCAGAAATAAACAAATAAAATAAAATTTCGGCGCTCCTGCCGTTTAATGACAGCGTTTTGACAAAACGGAATCCCCTAATGGCGGCGTGCGCAGAAAAGATGCGCGTGAGAGTTAGCCTGCTGATTGTTTTTGTATATGCTGTGTAAATACTATATAAACTGTCGAGAATGGAATCTCAGTATAAATTTTGTTGTCAACAAAATTGAGCCAAGCCAGCGCCATCTACCATATCGGAAAATCACGATTTACTGGTTTTGCCTCGATGCTACAGACACCTACTTTACATAGGACTTTTTATGATAGATGGCGCCCTGTTCGCATTACTGTCGGTCTGTTCAAATTCGTTTATTCTACACTTTGGGGCATTAATGTTTGCTTAAATTAATTGATAATTTGTTAATTAGATCAAAAGACAGTTTCTTTATCGATGGTTAAGAGTATCCTTAACATATTTATTCAAAGTTCTGATTGATGTTTAATTGAACCTGTCATTTATCTAATCAACAAAGATAAAAATAGATCTTCCAATCTATAAAGTTTGAAGTTCTTCTTGAAACACACAAAACAACTTCGAAATCACTTATAAAGAACACTTGACAACACAAAGGAGGATGAAATGCAAGATCGGCGAACAAAAAACATTATGAATTATTAGTTATGATCAAATGAATATTTTGGCATATTGTCATATGTTGACATGTCAGTTATCGATATCGGACGTGTTCTTGATGTGCTGGTATTTTACAATTTTGACAATTCTATGGTTGTCAGCGACATCTTAAAAAACGGAAAAGAGTTATTATGTGGTTTATAACTGGCAATGAGAGATCGCAGGGCAAAACCAAAGCAAAGTACCTGCTGATGTAACTACTGGTGTGTGTGTCAACCTTAGAGCAGGTAATTTCCTAGGTGAGAGTAGGAACATGAAGTTGGAATTTGAAGCCGGTTTTTTCCAGGTATTTTGAGATCCAAAATAATGCCGGTATAGGAAATTCAATGCTTTACCTGTCGTTTGGTGTACAAACACCTGCCAAAAACTGGCTTCACTTTAGTTTCATAGCAGAATGGCGCGTTCCTACTCCTTATGTCCGTAGGACAGCGCTTTACCTGCTCTAAGGTGTCAACCAACAATCTAAAGCTATTGCCACTAATTGACGACATAAGCCAAACATTTAAAATACAATTATAATTTCAAGAAGGTTTTTATATCAATATAATATAGTTTTCTTTCTTTTCAGACACATTTTGTGTGTGTTGTACCGCCGTACCACCGTCCGAACATAACCGAACCGGTACCGGTCCGGTTATGTGTTGTATCGAGTGGTAAAACGAGCGAATCGCACCAATTTGTTTATACGCCAATAAATGGGACTGCGAGTGGTAAGGATACAACCTGTGTTAATATCAACAGTTTTTTTAATAGCCGACTTAATAGTTTGCCTTATTTTCGATTTTCAACGGAAAAAGTCCAATTTTTGATACCTGGACCTTTGAATGCTATAAAATTCATGAGCATATCTATCTTTTTGGAATGAAAATGTGTAACCAAAAACATTAATGACAAATTTTTAAGTTATTAAAAATCAAATTATCAGGATTTGGTCCCATAATCAAATCAATGTACAGGGGTCAGTCTTAAAGGGAGGACACCTGCTTGTGGTGCAACCAAATTTTTGTCAAACTTTTGCATGAAAAAGTTACATACACGTTCTAGCATGTAGCTGATACTGACCTTTGTATATATGAATATCAAAAATTAATTTTCAATCACGCAATGGGAAGTAAATTTGCAATGAAAAACTTGGTGCGTGCCAATTTGAAGTTTTTGAAAAATTCACCATAAATTAAATCGAAAATAACAGCAACGTCAAAAATATTAACTCGGTTACTTGGCATGAACACTAACTGTATGCGAGGTGATAAAAAGGCAATTTTAGTTTTAAAGCTAATTAACAAGACTAAAAATGGCTTTTTATCAAGTGCGAAGGTAAAAAATCGTTTAATAAGCATTCACTTTACATTTAAATCCAAATTTAGAACGATTTTGTACTTTTCTTAATTTATTTTAAGACAGCAAATTGTGTACTAAGTGTGAATTAAGAATGAATATAATACCTGCAATACAAGGGTATGGAATGACTAGGCGAGAGAGTGAATAAGTCTGTGGAAGGTAGGGCAAATTTTAAATTGAATGCTGCTAGTGCACAATTTGTTCAGAAATATGTTTTTAGGCTACATCATCAAGTTTTTTTGTTTTATTTTTATTTTTTAAATTATTTAAAACTTAATTTTAAATAAAATATTACATCGTTAGAAGATCCTGGGATAATGTAGCCTTGAAAAAAAGCCTTGAGTTTTTTCCAGAACTTTTTCAACTTTTGCCTTTTTTGTGTTTTTATTTAGGACAAGGAAATCTCCACCCAACGATAACTTGTTTTATTTATTTCCTTTTTATGTAATCTGTTATATTTTATATAAAATTGAAATGTAAAATAATATCATTCCATATTTGACTTGTATTTTTTTTATTACTTTTCTGAAATGTAAATTATTTTAAACACCGATTTTCTTTTGTATTTGTTTTTAATTATTTTTTTGTCAAAAGATAACAGAAAATTAACTATCCCCCCTCCTCAACGTGTTGTTTTGTTCTAAATGTTGTACTGTAAAAAATTTTGACAGCGTTCTGATGTAATAATATGTTTCCTCTTTTTTTTATCTTTCTTAACAAATAATGGCACTCTTAGCACAAATTCACGCTTTGTAAAATTGAATTTATTCATTCGCTGCTACATGTTCGTTAAGTGGTGGATTTTTTTTTTCATCAAAAAGTTCATGTATGTTTGTCCAAACTTAAAAGTGAAACGATTTTGATTTTATTTTTACTCAAGAATAAATGTTTGGCCCTACAATCCCTCAAGTCCTAGGGGCCTAAGGCTAGTTGAAAAAATAAATGCGCCTCTTTATCTCCCTTGCCCTTAAATATTAGTGGAACAGTGGCTGAAAATTGATTTGTTCATCTAAGTCAAAATCGTTGCTAAAAATGGTGTCTGTCAAATTTTTTTGCAATTTTCATCTCTTTTATCCCCCTCAAAAAATTTAAAGCTTTTTATTATTAATGTATATGAGATTTTTTTATTACTTTTTTTTGAAATTAATATGTAATTGTTATTATTGCGTTTGCTTTGTTTTCACTTTCTGTCTCATACAGCATACAGGCTGTGTATCCGCAATGGGGCTGCCTGTCGACGTCTACTCTCAGCCTGTGGTGCCTAAGATGCGTGCGTCACGATCCGTTTCGTCATTCAGGTTCTAGTTTTACGGGTACTTAAAAATAAAATACACAAACACCCATACACCCTCATTTCGTTTTTCCGAATCTACATCCACATTTCATTTGATCACTCTACACCCATTTTCATCTATACTAAATCAATTGTTGATTAATTAGTGCCCTTGTTATAGAAGCTTGCCTTCAAATTTGTTTTTTTTTTCTTAGTGAATATGTTTTTAGGGCCATAGGTTTTAGGAGTTTGTAAGAACATTTCAATTTAGGTGTTTTAGATTTTGATTTGTTTTGTATTGAAAATTTCTTACAAATGTAACTATCAAACTTTTAGAATGAATGAAGAAACCATTGCAATTTTTATCCACAATAATTAGTTTTTTGATAAAAATAATAAATAATGATAATATGATTCGTATTAAGTTTATTTTGAGGCTAAAAATTGCAAAAATTAGGTTAAATTTTTGCAAGTTTCTATAAACGGGTGCTAAATTGATTCAATTTTTCATAATTAATTTGGATTATTAGTGCCGAATTACCTTCATCAATAATTCAAATATTCTAAATTTATTTCAAAAAATAAATTTGCTTTTTTCACTAATACATATTTTGTATTATCGAAGTATAAAAAGCAAATTTGAAACTTCAAACATTAGAGTATTCTTTTTTTTTAAAGAGTGGCGCAAGGCTAATTATACAAAGAGAAATTATTGAAAATTGGTTAATATATCTTTTTCATAGTCATAATTTCATTTCATACACATAAAACACTTCTAAAAACACCATTTGACAAGCGAAAACTTATTATTACACAATTTATTGTTATTCTTTTTGTAAGAATTTCCAACCAATTTTGCAGCGCCATCTCCAATTCTATCCAAAATTATTAGACTTCTCTTATGGAGGGCAGTAATTTACCTTTTTTTTTTTAATACTTATTTTACAGGCGGAACGTTTCGACGATTACCCTGTATAAAGACCCGCGATGTTTGCGCATAGGGTGGTATTTGAGTGACATCATAAATTCCTTATCCAAAACAAATCCCGAACTTATGTTTTTAAGAAAAATCCTCTCTAAGACTAACATTTTGTAGATTTATTTGGTGGCTGTTGTGGATTTTGCTTTTATGTTTTGCGTAGTAAAAATGCTAAATAATTGGAAACTAATAATTGTTTGTTGACGATTACATGGATAATGAGATGAGCCCATTTACCCCAACGTTTGTTCTTCCACTGTTTTATGGTAGTTGATTATATTGCCCTGTACCCCTATATACCCTCTTGCCAATAAATAGCAGGAGAACGTTGGGGTTGGGTAGAAACAAATGAAATTTGAATTTTGGAAACAATTCATACCAAGGCTTTAGAATCTTCCTTTATACTTAGAAAATATATAAGTCATCTTACATCTACTAAAAAAAAAAAAAAAAACATAAACTTTACTTTGGAGCTTTAATGGCTATTTGCATGGCTATCACTTAAGCGATATTTAATCTAAGTGGAGCTTTGAATGCGACTTTTGTTTCTACAAGAGTCACATTCAAATCTCCACTTGGATTTAATACTCCTTAAGTTATAGCGATGCAAATGGCCGTAGTGGCTTCTCAAAAGTCTCGAATAAAATTGCGGCATCATTGTAAATAACCCAAACTGACATTGACCTTGAATCAATGTCACAGAATAAATGTCTAACGCAGGTTAATAAATAATCAAACGAACTTACCTTAAGTAAAGTTCGATTATAATTATACGCAGCGTTTCCTTCAACACTGTGTCTAGCATCCCGGCACCGGTATTCATACGAATCCCGGTTAAAACGCATTTTCAATGACGTCATCAACGACCGCCGGGATTTATCGTGAATCCCGGCTATTGGATTCAAAATTCAAAGTCGTGTTTCTCTTGCTTGAGGCTGTAAATAATTCCGGAATAGCTTTTGTGTATTATTGTTTCTTGTTGTGATATTGGTATTAGAGTGGTAATAATACGTCGTTAATCCACTTTTCGTAGTAGTGGTTTAAAAAGGGAATAGTATGGTTTATTTTCATTTATTATTCAGTACTATGGCTTTTTTAACACCCTGTATCTCATCTGAAATAGGGTACTTTCGGACCCATGTTCATAGCCTGTTTTGCTCTTAATTTTAGATGTAGAATCCGCAGTTAAAATATTAACCTGTAATTTTGGGGCACCCTGTGTGATGTTGCTGAACAATAACGGCGTTGCTGTACAAGATAAAATGCTGAACAGACTTCCAAAATGCTGTACAATTCAGCGAAATCACAGAATTATCCGTGGTGAAATGCTGTATGTATGATCTTTTATGCCTTCTATGGAGACATATTAAATGTACAACGTTCAACCATAGAATAGTTCAACGTTAAAAAAAAAATAACAAAATTTTCTAAAAATTGGATTTGTTTGGAATGTAAGCTGTGCATGAACAATTGATACCAAAAAGTTGTAGTGATTACTTCAGAATTTATACTTATGTTCGAATTATACCTATGTACATATAATAAGTCATAATTTTATTTCCCATAAATAAAAGCTTATCGCGCCCGACTTCGTTTACTAATAATTCTGCCCCAATAACAATGAACATAATAATTATTAACATCTTGTATTGCAATAGCCGGGATCCACGACAGTTACCGGTGGTTGTTGAGGACGTCATTGAAAACGCGTCATAACCGGGATTCATATGAATACCGGTGCCGGGAGGCTAGACACAGCGTTCCTTCAAAGATGAAATAACAACAACATGTAGTACCTCTACTTTCTGCTAGCATTGATCACAATTTCAAAGTCTTAAAAAAAAAACAAGCTTTCATTACCTACTACTATGCAACCCACAATACACCACACCTTCGCTAGCTTCGCCTCTCTGCTGCATTATGGGCGTAAGAAACAAACTATCAATAATGAATCATTATATGCTCGTTGAAGAATATACTATTCTTTAAAGGACTTCAGACATTCTACAATAGTACGACCAAAAAGTAACCAGTCATCTATAGTTTATTTTTTTCCAAGATAGATTTTGGCATTGTCAACTTTGAAACATAAACAATGCCGCTAATGCCGCTTATTG